ATCAAGAAAGGGACAGGAAAAAAGAAAACAATAGCTGGAGAAAATTTACCATTGATTAATGCTAAACCTAGTGGCCTGTGATACCACTTCAGAAGAAGCCATTCAGTGAAATAGCATCCGCTTGATTTCACTTATTCCAAATATGAGATATTGAGGACCATATTCTCCTCCCATTTGTACTGCTGTAAATCCAAAACCACTTACCTGATTTCCGAAGAGCTACCCTGGATTAGCAGAGGTGTAGCAAATCATTCTATAGCTTGCAATAAGCAGTTGACTCTTCTGATCTTAGAGCCTACAGGAGCAGCTGTCCTGTGATCTTACACAACCTCTTAGAAAACAAACAGAAATGATTAGATGTGTAATTTTATTTGTGGTCTAATTTTGCTTATTTTCTAAAAGGCCACAATCTAATATATGTGCACAATAAAGGTAATATTCCAATATCTCATGTGTGATGCTTTCTCTTCTTAACGATGGCATGGAGAGGGCCTCAAATGCTAATTCCATAGAAACATCCCAGTAGATCATCATTCCATGTCTCCCCACACATTTTTCCTGAACATTTCATCCTGCAGGAGGAAGAGCTGTCGTTCTACATTCTCAGCAGACAAATGAACTGAAATACCATTGTATGAAATTACGTGGTTACCTACGTGTTGTTGCTAACAGCCCCCGGCCCATTAAGAACTCACACTCCCGCACAGAAATGTTTGGGACACTCTCATGTAGCTCAGCTGATTGCTCCATTTTGAGACTAGGAAAGGTATTTTACACTGTTGGCAGCCACAGTGGCAGACACACTGTGGGACAGAAGAGTCATGAGATTGAAGTTCACTTTTGTGGCAAGGGTAAGGTGAGAGGGAGTCAGTGGGATGGCTGGAGAGCTGCTGCACATACTTTCTTGACAAGCACAAACCGCCATCTCCAGCGGCCGGCATCAGCACATTTTACAAACTCGCCGTTCTCAACAACGATTGCCTGTGACACAGAACAAAGCTGGAAATACATCAAGTATCAGTAAAGTTATCCTCTGTAAGCAAACAGCAGCTCTGGCATTCTGGAAAACAGAATGAGCTTTAGAAATGCCTGAGGATGCCAAAAAGTTCACAGAAAACACAGAAGAATGAATATTCTCCCTAAGTATTGCTTCCGCGATACAAACCCTTCCATAATTACCAACTGTTTCCATTCCCAGAAATAAGACTCTTCATCCCAGTGGACTGTCAACAGCTGCACAAGCTGCAAGAAGGAAGATGAATGCACGTGGAGATGAGAACAGACTATATGAGCATGCAAAGTATTTGTAGATCATTAGTCATTTTGACTCAGACATGAACAACCTTATGTTTGTAAATTACTGGACATCAAAATAAGAATATCATTTAAAGGGTAGAGGAATACAGTCAGGGTTATGCACTTAATTATATTTTATAAAACAAGATACGTAAAAGAAAAGTTTACATTGAAAAGTAAATAAATAGAAGGAACCCTCCCTGCCCCAAAGTCCAGACACATGCTAAACCACCTCCTCCCAACCAGCCTTTGTGATCTGCAATCACATATTGCAGCATTAAAGGCACTGCTAGAAATTACCCATAGGCAAGAAGCAAAACTGACTGGTTTTTATTGTCTAAACTGAATTAAATGCAAAAAGCAACTACAGATCTTAAGATAATTTTAAAAATATTTAGCTGTCATTATCTGTGAGGTTACTTATAATGCAAACCTGAATCTTGTGACTTTTATGTCCAAATACACAAAACACACACACACCACGAGTCAGATCTGCAAAGTGCTGAGCCCTTGCATATTCAGCTGAGTCCACAGAGCAGCATATATCTCAAATCTCTGAACATCAAGACAAAACCCGGTGAAGTTACTGACCCTTCGTAAAAGTCCAATAAAACAGCCAAAAGCATTTTTACTGAAAAAACTATTTATTTGTTTAACATAAAATATCTAGTGTGGAATTAAACTATCCAGTGTTGCATCAGTAACATAGGAACAAAAGGAGTATTTTACAACAAGCTTGATATACACAAAGTTTTTAAACATTAAAATGTATCCAGCTTAGAAACTGTACATTCAAACACAGGAAAACATTCAATGTTCTTTCGGCAAGCATTTAGGAATAATAAATCATTCCATCAAAGCACACTTGGAGAATTATTTTTCCCACAACAGCTTTGCACATTAATATATTGGACAGTTAGCAAATCTCTGAATCCCACAATTCTGTTTGCTCTCAATTTTAATTCAAAATTATCTCACTTTATTGTTTTAAATGAACTAGCTATATTAATTCTTTCATCAGTGAAAAATACTTGCCAGTGTGTAAAACAATCTTTGGAAGCTTATTATATACATCAGTGATGTTGCCATATTAACAAAATATGACTTGTGATTATTTATAGGCTGTTGTGTATCAACCCAAATGTTCTTCAGTTTTTCAGTGAACAATCTAAAATGTCCTTCCATTATTAATAATATGCAAGAACTTGTAAAACCTGAACTTCTCTTCTGTTTCTTCAGTGCCCAATAGGCTCCTACTGATTTCAGTGAGGTGGGATCAGCTGTGGCACGGTCCTACCTGTCTTCCTCTATTCAGCTGATCCAAAGCCCACAAATATCCATGGGAGACTCTCCCAGGTACTTCAGTGAGCTTTGGATCATGCTTTAGGCATCACTGTCTCTAAATCAAAGACCCAGACTACAAAGATGTCTCAGCAGGACCAATCTTGGCATTTGTATCATTATGTACATTGTCAATGCAGAATTCATAAAAAGTGAAAAGCAAAAATGCCTTTGATTTTTTTTTTAATACTGTAAAAGTCACAGGTTAAAACTGAACTACTCAACAGCATCAAAAGGTTTCACATTACCTATAAATCTTTACGTGGGAAATATTTTATCTGAAGTATACATATGTGCAAATCTATGAGATATATATACTTCACCTAAAACACTCTGAATGCACACTTTGAAGGCCGTTGCAATGCAGTCCTTTAAAACTGTTGAATATTGACTCAAAAAAATGAAGTGATATGTGAACACTAACACTGGAAAAGTAGAATTTTAACTAAAGGCGCCTGTAAGGTGGCATTTCTTCAGGCCACGGATGTCATGTATTTTATGTTCTTTCTCATCTCTAATGCAGACTGACACCCTGCTGAATTCTAGAGGCCATCCGGTTTTGGGGTGTACACCTAACTGTAAACACAGCTAATGGGAAGCCCACACAGCAAGAGACATGTAAGCATCTGGATGTGCCCCTGTCAGGTGTGGACTGGCATGCTCTCAAGTGCCTTCACCAGCAGGAAGAAGAAGATGATAGTCAGAACTTTCATTAAAGGGTCAACGGTCCATATTATGCAAAGGCAAAGCAGGTTTTCTAGCTCAGTGGTCACACGCATGGTCTAATATCTGATCTAAAACCATCCAGGAACTGTGTCCTCACTGCCAGTGTCCTGTCCATCTCTCGCACATCAGAGGGACAGTCCAAGGGAAACAAGTTCCTCTCTCTCTCTACTTTGAGGCAGGTCTGAGCTACCCCAGTTGCATAGTGCATCAGGGAGAATTATCCAACTACAGCCTGACAGAAGGAGGTAAAAACAAATTATTTGCAGCGGTTGTCAGTGCCGTGAGAGCCCTGTCTGTTTATTGGGGATCAATCAACTGGAACTTGAGCTTGCTGGAGATTGAGCACCCAGGATACAGAGACAGCAGAGACAGAGATAACCGAACCAGCACACAGCAACAGCCACTGGAAGAAACAGTGTGTTTCTATGTCATCATCCACATCTAAAGTGGGATCCCCTGTGAGCTGAATTGCATTTTCATATTACTGTGAAAAGGAAAGTTTCCTGTTTAGACCAACCACTTCTGGAGTCTTTCATTGCAGTCACCATCATCAAGTGGTAAATGAATGGACAGAGACATTTTGGCGCCATGTCAAACTTTAACTTTTCTCAGCAGAAAATACCCACACACAGAATATCAGTAACCTCTTTGGCCTTTTTTTATTAGTCTGAGTTTCCTCAGTTTCTTTAAGGAATTATCCACTTCTAATTTTCCTTCAGTGCTATAAACAAACAGCCTAACATGTCTTGGAGCATTATACTGCACTACAGTGCTGTAAAACCCTAAGTGAAAGCTGAACCCCAACTGTGTTCACTTGTATTGCACCCAAACATGGACTCAGTGACCTAGTCTTCCCCACAGAAAAGGGGCCTGGTTCCCAGAATAGTTAAAATATTCTATTGTGCAAAAATTTGTTGCACGCTTACCTATGTTTATGTGAGACAACTGACCACACATACTATAAAAATGTATTGCTTCCCACAGCCTAGTGATTAGCATTTAGTCTATCTCACTTACATTTGGTTGTGTGTGTTCCATAGTCTGGAATCCTGAAAATAAACTGAGACATGGATGAGACACATCTCAGCTTCCTTATGCATTTCCTCGCTGCACATCCACAGACTCTGAAATCTGACTTCCTGCATAGTGACAGATTTCTGACAAACAAGACAAACTTATCCTCACCTGAACTCTGTTACATTCTCTGACAAGAGCAGGATCATCAGCCTCGAGGAGCGACATCTGAAGGAGTGAAGTTCCTCATCTAAGGATGATTGCAGTTCGGCTCTTCCCATGATTTTTGTTCATTTACAACATGATGCCAGCTACATTCCTTTGTCACCAGCTTGATGTTAGAGTCAATGTACAATCAGCAGCTATCGAGAAGTTCTGCCCAGCTGTCAGGAGGCCAGCTTCTGTTGGGAGACACTTGAAAGCAGCTCCATCCAAACTGCTACACACAGCTGTTCAGACTGAGGCATTTTTATCAAAGGTTTTGGCTACACCACCACAAGAACATACTTAGACAAATCAAGCAGAAACATACCTGGACCCATGCAGAAAACCACAGCGTGCATCTCCACACACAAAGAGACACCAGTACAGCTGAAGCAGTCTTCACCAAGCAACAGACAGAGTGCTCAATGTTTCTGGCAATGTTAGAGAAGTCAAATTCTGCTCCAAACCATGAGGATTTATGTTTCTTATATAAGACTCCATCTCTGCAACAAATACCACTCCTCACTGACTCAAACTACCTGCCTTGGATGGGAGAAATGTTCAGAAAACTGCTTCCAAGCAATCAGTCAGTCCCTATTAATTCTCAAGGAACAGAACCCATAAGCAAGGGAACTAGAAAGCATTGGTTGGTTTGCCGTTATCACATTTTGTTGTTGTTGTTGTTGATGGCTAAAAAGTGCAAGGCAGGCATCTAATTCATAAAACCTATTCTGTAGTGTATGGAATCCACCATGTGCTATGCCAGGTACACAATAAATATTAATCTTTTGGTTTTAGGCATCAAGAGTACATTATTTTAATTACAGCTTATACTGAGTTGCATTCAGTTAGCTATTTGCTTGACACGGGACATTTTAAGCTGAATAGCTGACCATGCAAGCACAACAGACTTAAGAAAAACTCCTTCTGCTAAACTTCAAATCATATCTGGATCAAATGCCTCTCAACACAGAAGTAAAATTTTTATGTGTGTGAGCAAAGAGCAGCAGAGACACAATTTGCTTAGGTTCAACCCAAAAGTTCCTGCAGTTTGACACGTGACATTGGCAGTGACAGTATGGTCAGCTTTCTATGCTTCAGGGTTGGATTTTTTGTGAAAGAGATCTTGCTCATATAATTCATTCTTTCAGCAGGTTTTCATGTCCTATCATTCCTGTGATCCAGAGTTTGACCTGGTGACCCCTGGGGAATGAGATCCTCTGCCAACCATCTCCTGTCCCCATTCTCTGTGGCTGGACTCCTGTAAGCCACGACCTTTCGTTTCAATGGGCAAGAAGCAGGAAGCCACAGCAGCCAGCATGCAACATCCACTGTAAACCACCAGTGTTAAATAGACGGAAGATTCCAACATAACCTGCAGAAAAAAGGCAGAAAATACAAAATAGTACCCCTGAGCCTTATCACAGAAAGAAATACAAATACTAACGTATTAGTAGAAATTTTAATTACAGTATTGGAAAAAATGTTTAACATGCACTGCTGCATGCTTTCTTTCCTCAGTGATGACACATAGCTATTAGACACTGACAAAACAGTCTGGATTACAAGCGCCATGAGGTGATGCTGCCCTTATGTGTTAGACAGGACTTAAGCAAACTACAAGTTTTCTACCCAGCCCTCTGCAGAGCCACTGCTTCTGACACTGTCTTCTGAGTCCTGTCCCTGCAGAGCCTGGCTCCCCCAAACTCCCTGTCTAGCTCTTTCCACATACCCTGGAGGTTTGTAGCCCCCAGCACCTCAGCCTGGGATCTCAAGAGAAAGGCGGCATTGCACCATGCACAGAAAGTCCCTGCCTCTCACAAATCCCATCTCCAGGTGGTGGCTTCCAAGGTGTACTTCCATCCAACCAGCAGCCTGCTTCTTGGTTATCTATCCCCCAACATATGGAGCTCTGGAGCAAGAGGTAAATTCAGAGATGAGCCTGAACTCTGCTCAAGGAACAGGCAACAACAACCCTCCTTCAACACATCATGCACAGATTGCCCTTGGTTTGGCCCTTACAGCAGAAAAGCAGGTTCTCCACCACCTTCCTGTGCCTTCAGTCTCAGGAGAAGGGATTTTACCTGTGCAATGAACGGGGTTATGAGGGCTCCCACTCTGGCCATTCCACTGCATGTTCCCAGGCCCAAAGCACGCGTGGCTGTCGGATAAACCTGTGAACAAAGCATCAACCCATTAACGGTAGTGGGAAGCTCTCTTCCCTCCAGTCTCCTAAATCAATGGAAATTAGTAAGTGGTACTACAGCAAGTTCTGTTAGACAATGACAATGAGATCATCAACTCATATCTGGGGTAAGGTCCGTGAAGAGGTCATAAAAATGACTTTCCCGCCATGTTCTCACTCCCCTTAAATATTCTCATTACAAAAACAACCTCCTTACCTCAGGAGTGTAAACATAAGCAGCCTGAAATCCTCCCGAAATAAAAGCTCTTGCAATGAAGAGCAGCACAGTAAGAACATTTCTGTGAGAATAAAAAGGAGAGCAGTGTTTGGGATTGTTCTGTACAATCTGTTTGTTTAACTTGGAGGCAAGTGCAATAAAAATGCTAAATTTGTTAGAACGATTTCTTTTGTTTTTTAATGAACCTTTTGTATTTTTTCTGGACCTTTAATATAACAATGATGCCAACCAATCTGCATTCCCACAATCACATCAGTCTTCTAAGTGTATTCGTTCTAACTGACAGCTGTGGCCTGTTGAAATAAGCAGTGAATGCCTAAGCTTATCTAAATAAGAAAAATATATTCCACATTATGAATGGTGCTAACAAAAAAATGGCACACATGAGAAGGAAATAAGAGTGCAGCTTTCCTGTTTAAAAGACATGAACCTATGTAAAACCTGGATATTTGCAGCTTTGTAAGGTTTCTTCTTACAAGGTTTCTGTACTGTAAGGTTTTGTACAGTGCTTGAAAACGTTTAAATTCAGAGTTCTCCTCTGGCTGTTAGGTCATTTCCTTGTTCGTCAGCCCCAAAGTACAGAAATTGTCGCATGCATGTGGCATGAAGGCCAGATGCAGTCAGAGGCAGACTCTCAGAGCTCAGCTGGAAATTTGGTACCATTAAGATTCAAGGGTAGAGCTGCCAACTGAGTTGTTATCTGGAAACTCTGCATGAAGGACAGATACTGAACAATGCAAAAATGTGAAGCCAAGTTCTTTTGAAAATTGGGCCCCATGTATCTGCAATGCCAGCATCAAGCTGCACCAGCCACTCTGTATACAACTTCAGGGTTGTGCCAGTCTGTGTCTATTGCTTCTCACGTAACTGTGCCATAGCACTGAGACCACCAAGAGCCCATGACAAATGAAGCAGTCAGAGCATCTGAATGGGAAGCAGAGACTGGGCTTGGCTGTGAAGCACTGCCCTGGTACAATCAGCGTGGGGAAACATAGGTATTGAATGGCAGAGAGCAGTACATGAACCAGCTACCGAGGCTCATGACATCAGATCCGATCTTAAAAATCGTCCAGTGGTTACCTCCTACTCAGACATAAGCTCTTATTTTCCCCTTTGGATTGCTCTGTCTGCAAAATTATAGTGAAGGATTTCTCCTCTCCTGCTGCTTTTAGTTTCCTTCCAAAATCTGGTGAGAAAACCTAACACCATCCTTAATTCTTTCTCCAGCTGAGCACGACCATCTCATGGCTTTTCAAACCACCACTTACAGTTCTCCTGCCATAATCAAGAGAGAACATGGATGAATCAGATATACCAGTTGTTCACCACGTTTTACTTACCTTCCAACGCAGAGAAACAGCAAAAGACTGCAAAACGAGAAGACCAGAAAGGACAGGGCCATGGTTTTCTTGCGGCCTATCCGATCAATAATCCATAGTGTTACTAACACACCTGTAGAAGGAGACAAGTTGACTGTTGGGAATTGAGCAAAGGTGCAGGCTGCAGCAGCTAGCTTTTAAAATAGGCTGGGTTATTTAGATTTGAAATTTTGTTCTCTCTTTCTTTAAAATACTTTGCTGGCAGAGGCATCAGCTAGGGGTGTAGAATAGATTGCCCCAGCCATTTGTGCCACATGAAAACAGAAGCTCTGTGTCCCAGCTGGTGAGTCTTGCTCCATGTTCACTACCCCACTGGTCCACACATCCACATGCCCACACACTCAGGGGCTACACACTTACGTAGGAGTGAGCAATCAACTCTGACATCTGTTAACCACTGATTATAGCAGTGGTTACCAATGTGAATGCTAAAAATGCCTGCCTTATGTGTCATTGGAATATCTTTCGTTCAGCTTCTGACTATTGTTCCCTGCTAATCTTCCTACTGCTAGGTTTAAGGGCTCTTTAGAACTTAGTATTTTCTTTCCATTGCATTATTTATATGCTGCCATCAAATTATTTTTCACCTGCTCTTTGACAAAGGAAATAGATCAAGCTCTGTAAGTCTCATAGTGTTAAACATCCTCTCTTATGCAACTTTTCCAGATCCTTTCAAGAGCTGAGGTATACCAAGTGTGGAGATTATTCAAGCATCAGAGTTGCCAGTGTCATATTCAGAGTTATCCCTGTCAATATTTCTTACTCCTACCTTAGTATGTGTCAGGATCAAATCAGTCCTACCAGCTATAGCATCAGTCCAAGAGTACATACTCTCTCTTCTGTCCACTGTCCACTGACATCCTTCCCAGAATGACTGTTATGCAGGACAGTCATCCTATTAGATAGCAAATATGCATATTTATCAGTCACAGACTTATAACTTTTCACCAATTAAATGGCTTCTCTTTGAGTATTTGTCCCTGCAACTATAATCTAGAACAGTGAAAATAACCTGGCCACTGCCTCACAGTATTATTTCAAACTATTAATACTGAGAGATCATCTTCGACACCTGAAGAAACAATGGCTATTATACACCAAATATCTTGCTTGTCCTAAGTCAGACCGTTCATTGAAATTCACTGAAATTATCTGAAAAACCTGACTGAGGCTGGACACAGAGCTTTAGGGAGCAAGTTCTCCATTGATTCACTATACCCACCATCCTTTTAAAATAGTTCTGGAAAGTCATTTATGGATAAAAGTTCAAGTGATTCTGCCCCTTTGATTTAATTGTTACTCTTCCTCTGAATGCCTAATATGTTGCTTGGGCCATTATAGCTTCACAAAGCAATTACTAGTGATTTTATCTGTAGTGATCACATGGGCAGTGAAGAGAGCTACACCTACTGTGTGTACTGCATATATCAAGTAGTCCAAGCAAGGAGCTCCAGAGCTGAAGGAAATACATTGGCATTAGGCCAGACAGAAGAGCCCATTTCATTCCTTGTACCAGAGCCCATTCCAATCACACTGAGCCACTGGCCCTGAAGAACTGTTGCTTCTTATTGGCACTTACCAGGGAATTCTGACAGGGTTGTCCAGAGCAGGTCAGTGTAGTCTTCCTCTGTCAGATACTCACAGGTCAGGCTGCACTTTGCTTTAACTTCTTGTCTTCTACTGGATACTGTGGGAGGAAAAAGAAAAAAACAAGTATTTAATATATTTTAAGTAATCTCTTCTCTGCTTACCTTCCTTTACTCCTGCAATTTCTTTATCACTCTTACTGCTGAAACTGATAGAAGGGATGTACTGAAAATACTCTGCCACACAGAAGGTATGTTCTACCTGGAAGATACAGCTGAAACTGAACAGTTTATAATCTTATTTGTGGCAGGATGTCTTACCTCGGCAACCATCACTATCAGAATGAAAACTTACACTTCCCTATCAGCTGTACAGGCTTAGTTATTTTTCAGTCCAGGGCTCATAACAGTGAACAGGATTAACATCAATAATTCAGTTTCTCCCTACATAAACTGGGATACTAACACTTCATCTATACTTTGAGAAGACTGAATAATACCGTGCCTTTGTAAAAACAAGTATTTTTAAAGGATGCATGCTCCTTTGTGGAGGCTAACCAGAGTTAGACCTCTCAAATAGCTAATACACTGTTGTACAAGCTCGGGATCTATGTCTGCTCCCAATACTACCCATCCTCTTTCTATAATTTTCCAACTATCAGTTTCCACTAATTACAAGTGTTCTGAATACATGCATGCCTCCCCTGGGGAATCAAACTTTTCAAGTGTGGTCAAAGCACTTTTTTTTTTTTTTTTTTTTAAACACAAAAATCTGCAACAAAAAGGGTGATGGTTTCACAACATTATCTTTTTTCTCAGCAGGTCTTCACATCTTGAGAACCTGGTAGCTCCACAGCAGCAGTTATCTCTATCTAACTAATTAGGCCTGTCAAATCTTGAAACTACATTTATTCAATCACTTTTTTCTCAAGAAGAACAGATATTTTTTCTAACAGGTCTCCCTTGAAGGTTGTCTTGCTGTTTTACATTTTGGGCTCAGAGACACTGCAGGACCTCTCTGCATTGTGCAGGAGATGAGGAACAGTCTATTAGAAATGCTTAAAATAAGTAACCCTTTAAGTGGATGCCTTAAAATTCAGGCTGGCAGCCACAGTCCTTTCCAAACTAACAGCAGAAGGTGATCTAATAAAAGATATTCCACCACTTAACAGGGTATATTTAAAAAAGAAAAAATGGATTAGTACTCACTGCTGCAGACGTCTCCTGCTTGGAAGAACTCTGTAGTTAATAAAACTAACCCATAATATGAAAAAGCATTGGAAAACCTGCAAGGAAGAAAATGAGAGAGGAAGTCTCAGCTGGTCAAACCTATATAGTAAACAACATGAATCAAAATTGAACCCACTGTGTGAGGACTTCCACTAAGTGCTACCTCAAAGCTATTTCCTATCAGCATTTAGAAAATGAAAGGGCAATTAGATTGAGAATGCTAGTGATTGGGTGGTTTAATATATTACAAATCAATACAGGCTGGGGTATTTTTTGAGCAGGAAGTTGCTATATTTTAGTGATACTGTAAAACACCTCCATTAAAAACCATTTAGAATTGTGCTGGCACCGAGCCGTTTGTATTTCCTCTTACCATATAAACCAGAGTAACAATGTGGTCCATCTAAAATGAGGCGTAAAAAGGTCCCTCATTTTTCCTCGGTCTTCCTGTTGAAAACAAGCAGAAGTCAGATGATCAGGGCACTCACAGGTCCTGGGCTGGAAGATGCAGAGCGACAAGGGGTAATACAAGACACAGTACTATGTGCTCAGGTTATCTCATGATGACTGTTTGCTTTCAGTTGAGGGCTCTTCAGGCTGTAGGAGCCACACTGGAGCTGGGTTCCAAGTAAAGAATTCCTCTGCCAAGGGGAATTCTCCAGGAGCATAATGTTACCAAAACCAGTTCATGCACAGGGCACACTACTCCTCCACAAGGAAGGTGAGGCTCTGTCAGAACAAGGTGGAGCTGGAAAGAGGTAGAGCATAACTTTGCCGATCCACATCTGGCCCACAGCCAGCTCCTGTAAATTAGAGCAGCCCCTCAGGGCTACTGATCTAGGGTGAGGTACTGAGGAACTACAAGCAGCCCCCCTGCAAGCAGACTCCATTTAAGCTGCCTGGTTCTTAGAGAGTGAGTGGAGGGCTCAGCCCATGCTCTTGTGGTCAGGGAAAAGTACTTTCCCGCCCCACCCTGAAAACAAAACCTTCCAAAACTTGGAGAGTGTTCCTGCACGGCCCATCAAAATTACCCTGACTGAACCAAGCATTTGTGAAATGCACAGGAGCTCAAATCCTCAGTTATCCAGACCTTAGAAAATCAAACCTCCATCTCTGATTAGTAAGATGCTGTCATTACCAGCAGGCTTCTGCCTAGCTTTACAATTTTGCTCTTGTTCAAATCCACAGGTCTCCCTCTGCTGTCCTTCCTTGCTGGCTAACTTTGTAACTTTCTTTTCTTATAAAAATCTGCTCTTTGTTCTGTAAATGCAGAGCTGCTTTATATGTTGACAGGAGTGCTGAAAAGTTGGCCACATAAAGCTGAAATGAAAAACAATCCAATGCAATTCATACAGTAATATGCAGCTCAGACTGAATTACTCCATGCATTAGGACTGAATAGGAGCTTGCGGCTTTCCCACTCCAGAAAATCAGGATTAGATTAAAAATGAGGTACAGCTAAAGAGTCAAATTCCATTTTGTCTCGTGAGTTTAGATCTGGGAATTCTGATCTGAGTTCTTCGGTAGCCTCAAGGTTTGATTTTCTTTAATAATAGGGTCTCAGAGTGAGGTTAAATAACATTAATGCCCACTTTAAAGGTCCTTTTCACTTTCAGGATTTCCATGTAAATAAAAATGAGAAACTAACTCCTCCTCACTGTGAAAGAGACATATATGACCATCTCTCACATTTTTTTATTACTGGTTGAGATATTACAATTAACATTGATTATTTGCTTATAAAATTAAATATGAATGTAGCACAGTTTCATTGTATCCCATGTTATTAATGTGCCTGTTACCTGTACATACCTGTCTGGAAATAATTAATTTTCCCAGAGGCATTGGAGCTCCATTTTCTGTTGCTATCCGCTTTAAAGTGGCAATTGCTTTTTCTTGATTTCCAGATAATACATCATACCTGGCACTTTCTGGCAGCCACTAAGAGAGCAAAGCAGATCACACACACAATGATGTCAGAAAGACAGCAATAAACAAACTGGGGATTTTCTTTGTGGGCTTACAGTGGGAAATCTCAGTGACTCCAGCAGACTACTCACACTAAAAAGGATTACAGAACTGATCTTTAACAATTCAGAGAACCATCTTTCTGCCAAATGTCAAACTCCTCATTAGGCTTTAAGAAACTGCAAAACCCTACTTTCACGATGAAGTCAGAACTCCAGTCTAAAATCTTTCCTTTCTGTTACCTTGGTTTTATTCTTGAGAAATGTTAGGCATTTTTGCAGGTTCTTTACATTATACCTTATCAGTAGGAAAGGCAAAGTATCCAGGGCAGATAACAAGATGCTCTAGGCATTCAAAAATTTGCATTTTTAAACTCCTTTTAAAAACAAGCATGTTAGCACCTGTATAACTGGAAGTATTTCTGAAAAGCAATGTCAGTGGCTAAGGAATAATAAGAGCTGCTAAACAACCTGACAAGGACATGTATCTTTGAGAAGACCGAATGATTGGCAAATATATTACCTAATAGTGCACTGAAGCTCAGGTTTAATTCATATACATCTTATTTTAGAATTTGACCTGCACTTTGCAGATTTTACCCCTGATTTGAGTGGATTTTTTAAGTAAGTGGACAGTAATTATAAAAGTTATGGTTTTGACAAAATAATTTTAAAATCTAAAGAGCAATCAGGGAAATAGCAACAACTTTTAATAAAATGTTGATTCCACTGAGCTTAGTTGAAACAAAGTCATTAAATTGGAGAGGTTTCCAGGCCTGATTTGGTTTCACAAAACTCCAGCCCACCATTGTCCTCCAGCAATTACAGTCACATAAACACAGCTCTCACTGGAATGTTTTTACTAGCACCCTGTTGAAACAACAGCATTTTTGTCATTATTTCAGATGTTTCAAAGAAGACATCAACAGAGAGCTTAAAACTGTCATGATTTCCTTCAATCAGGTCACAGAATCAGGTAGAGAAGTGCTAGATTGATGGAACACACATTCATCTTTGAAAGAATACCTACAAAACATAGGACAGCGAAGAGCAAAAGTGGGAGGGCAGAAAGAATGAGAAGCCACCGCCAGCCAAGAGTGGGCATCACCAACACTGCTAGGAGGACTTCAAACACAGTCCCTATGGCCCAAAAGACCTGCCAAAGGGAAAACAAACAGTCACAAATGAGAATAAGAGTGCTGTTAAGGCCTCCTTCTTTGTGACATTCCAGGATGCGCTCTCTAGGGACAGCTGGAGAGAGAAATGCCAAAGACATTTCAAATATGCACCACTGTATCGAAATAGAGTCCAGACATTTTAAGGGGATTTGTTTAAATGTTGCAGAAGCTAAAATGTTCATTTCTGAAACCCTAGCATTGCCTTTCTCTAGACACTCATGTTTAACTGTAGGTAGCTTCTCATAAGGAATAGACTCATCACATGGTGTTTCTTAAGCAAAATGGCTATTAATGTATCTGTCTATGAGTATTATTCCCAGCTACCACCATGAGATTTATGGTATTTGTTTTCCTTACCAAAGCCACAGAGTTTGGCCTGTAGATGAAAGAAGGAATTGATACCTTCTTAGCAAATAATGGAGCTGGCATCCTCTTGCATATCCCATCCATGTAGGATTATTCTCCTTTAGATTATGAATCTGCTTAGCTCATTATTTAACACTCAGAATATATTTCTAACCTAGGGTTGCTCAGAGGCAGCCAAACTGTGGCAGAACAAAAGTGACACAGAAGGGAGTAATTCATCTACTGAACTCTATTTAATCCACTGAATGTAGGACTAGCCAGCAGATATCTTAGAAGACTTGTTTTGCATTGAGAAGCTGTTTCAATTTGGTGAGGTATTGCACAAGGATGCTCCTTCCAAACTGACTGGTGCAGACAAGTAATAGTACTGTTTTCTGACCCTTCAACCATCCACTAAAGGGCTGCAAATTTTGCCTTAAAGTATTTATAAGGCAAAATTCTGCTCTCTGTGACTTTGATACATTTGGATTGAATATGGGGAGCTGAATTTAGCCCTGCATTTACTGAACAGCCAGTTCTCCACTATCCATTACTGAGTTGTAGATTAATTTCACCATGAAATTAGGTGACATCCAAATGCCCCACCGTGTGCTAACAGCAGTAACTTACGCAGCACTGGATGCAAGTTAATTTGCAAAAAGGCATATTCAACAAAAAGAGTGGAGCCTTACATGAATGCTTCATGCTGCTTTTGGACCTGAGCTAGTACTAGTGTATAAGGTTAACCTCAGCTCCACACTAACTTGGACAATCAAGATTTGACTGCAGCTATGTGTGAGATTTCTTGTCAGTAGGATTGAATGGATGTAACCAACAGCAGAGTTTGTCCCTCTAGGCACCAGTATGCATAGCTACACTGCTCACCTCTATTAATAAAATGCATTTTGCTCTGGCTTTCATTGGAAGGAATTCAGCATATAAGGTTACCCTGTAAAGAGTGAACATTGAGAAAAATGTCATGTTAGCACATTAAGAAAAATGCTACGTTAGCACAATGACAGAGGTTCAAACATTTCGTTTGCCTTTTATTAAAATTGCCAAACCCATAGTAGTAATGCAAAACCCTTCCTAGCCCTCAGAGTCAGCAAGACTGTGGACACTGGTTCAGACTCCCCTTTCTACATCAGAACAAAACCCCTTTAGTTCATCATTGCAATGGAGGACAGAATTTGCTCTGTTCATGTGATTTTGTAACCCTGTAGTTGTTAGCTAAATGTAGCAGTTCTTGATGTGTATGTTTTCTCAACCCTGCTCTGGACTGGGACAGGCATTATGCCCATTATTTTCAGTGTGGTCCCTCAGCATTCAACACAAACTCCTGCTGGGTAAAGTATTTCTTCAGGGCTTCACAACTGGCTCAGAGAATTTCATATCAGTCTACTCTGCCAAGTTTCAATTCTCCAAGAGGTGAATACTTTCAAGGTCTGATCCTGGTACTGGTATAAAATAATTTGCATTCTTTTATTGTGGGAATTCAAAAAGAAATCATCTAACTCTGCAGAGTCTTTGTTTCATGACTGTGCCAAAGAGTAATGGTACAGCTTCTCTGTGAGTATTTCCTGAGGATGAACACAAGGGCCAGCAGCCAGTCAAGGCTCTCTCGTCTTCTTCAAACCGTCTGGTAAGACTTGTTCTTTGCTCCTACTCTGTTTGCATTCCATTGACTCATTCTGTTTCTGCCTCTAAACTCCTTAGGCTTTCTTTGATGTTTGTGACAAAACTCCTACTAACTTGACAAATGGCGGATTGATCTCTGAGTAGCTTCCCAGAACTCAGTTCATCGAAGTACAAAGTTGCACACAATATTATACTAAATCAGTGATTAAGAGGAGAAGGAAGTAAAATCACACAATGAAATGTAGAGCAGTCCCCTATATATCGCAGCAGAAAACAGGAGCTGATTAATGCTGTACAGAACTGTTTTCTTAAGAGAATACTCCATATCTTTGCAAGTCTGGATGTTGGCACTGTGAATGAATAGTCATACTCAGCGTTAGATAACATCTCACAGAAAATTCCCAGAGGAGGCCACAGCTTCTCAGGTGCAGCTCCTACTTAAGTATAGACAGAGGGATATCTGCTATAGTCAGTTAATTTATTATTGCTGGATGCTTTCTTTTTAATAGCACCTTTCTTAGAAATCTCTCTCTCATACCCATTACAGAATATACAATTAAAAAGATAGCCATGTTATTCCACTGAAATCCAGCCACTCATATCCAAAGTTACATAGCCTACTTAAGGATATTAGAAAGGAGCTACTTTTCCTGCTTCATACATATTTACTCCTCTGTCAAAGGAATCACTATTAGGGTTGGAACAACAAACAGACTCAGCAGCAATGGAATTCACTCTGAGTTCTGTAACCGGCTCTTCTTTGTCTCTCATTAAGTCACATAGCCTTTGTGCATTATCCACCCCTCTGCAAAATGGCGCTAGCTGTTCTGTAGCTGTTCTGCTGGGGCTCTGTGGAACATCATTAATATGTATTTGCAGTACAAGGCATTATTAACTCTGATGCTTTGTCTTTCTTGTTCTCCTGCCTCATTCCAGTTGTGCTCAGTTGGAACTGCATGGCAGAAACCGCCTCACTGTTGGTCAATACACAGCAGGCTAAGGACTTTTCAATTTTACATACACTTTATGCTTTTGTGCAGCTTCCGAAGGTGGGCAGGAGAGCAGTAAAAGAAAATTAATAATACTGTGATGTTCCATCTCAGCGCTGAATCTTTTATCTGGGAATGGCAATAGAAAAGACAGGATATTGACTGGCCTTGTGAAGAAGTCTATAAGCCATCAATCAAAGTTAGACTCTGACTACTCCGAAATAGCACTTCCATGGGGCAAAATATCAATTATTAATAAGGATAAAAGACTACTCAGAGAAAGAATGGCTATATTCTTCCCTTTACATTTTTAATTAAAAGCCTAGAGCAGAGTTATTTATTCCAGGTGGAAAATTTAGAGACCCCTCTCTCCAGTGAATGGAATGACACGTTAATATCCTGATGGTACCTTCTTATTAGGAATGTGTCTGAGCCATCAATATATCTTCAGTGCTCCAGGTTTAGGCTGTGTGGTTTTGGAATTTCAACTCAGGTTCAGACGTGAAAGTTCAGGCTCTAACTGAACAATAATCTGCAGTTTTACCATCAGGAGTCAGGGCTCAGCTCTGCCTCTAAATGCTAGTATTTAGGTCATGACCTATCTTGCAACAAGACCATGCTGTCCCTTATGGACTCTGCCAATACAATCTAGCAATGCAGTGTTTAGGCACAGCTACAAAATGCTGTCTGCTGTGTTTTACCCACTTCTAGGTGGGCTCTTTGGGCCTCTCATTTTCACCAGGGTTTACCTGAGGGAATGACAGAAGCTTAAAAGGCCTTAAGGCATATAACATATTACATTTAGGAGCCCAGCTTGTTCACACAGAAGTCATTGTAAATCTGATTCACCTCAGTGATGTATTAGGCATCTTCAAAGCCTTCTCAGAGTTCAATATATAAGTTCCAAAATACTTAGGAAAAAAAAAAGTGTTTGGGACAACGGAACAGAAGCATGTCTTCAATTTGACATAAGCATTTTTTTTTAAAATAAATAGAAAAGAGAAAGTTTGGACTTGTGAATATTTACTTACGACTGAGGCACTCCTCCAATCCCAAAGCCCACCAGGCCCCTCAGCACCAAGATCCAGCTATACACTGGTGCAAAGCCACTGAGGATCCCATAATAGAGCGTCCACAACACGCTGATCTTTAGGCCCTGTATTTAACAAACAAGCATGAGGAAAAGAAAGTCTCTGCTGTAACACAAATTAACAAAATGTAAAGTAGAGCTTCAAACTTCTTTTATTTCATGGGAGGTCACTTCTGGCTCTGCTTAATTCTGCTTCACACATCTGGACTATGACATTTGTGAACATCATGCACTGAAACATCCAGACTGTAGAAATATTATTCTAGTAGGAGCTGAACACTTACTGTTTTTCTCCCGTACTGGTCTGAAATGTTTCCCCAGAGGGTGGAGCTGGACATCATTCCCACAAACACCACCTATGAAACACCAGAAAAAAATCTTCCCCTTAACAACAAGACAAGTGAAAATTTCTGTGTGACAGCATAAAGAACACAACTTCACAGCTAAACTAGAAAATTTCAGCTGCAACAACAGAGCAAAATGTCCAGGTGTTCTGGGTATAATTCTTTTGCAGTAGAGACTATTCAAGATAATTATTCATATAGTGGGATTTTTCAAAAGTCACTCAGCATTAGCCTAACTTCCCTTCCATTGACCTGAAAGGGAATTTGCTATTGCCTGAGAATGGGGATGAGTGTCAGCAGACTGTTCAAGCCAAGGTCTGTCAGCTTCTTCCAGTGGTGGGCCCATTTTCAGTAGTTGCCTTGCTTTTGTTGAGGTCGGGAATCTAAACACAACATAAATAAACTGAATCTCTGCCAGGATACTTGTCATCACCTCGCCCTTATCTTACCCGTTAATTTGTTAACTACTGAATTAGATCAGTGCTGAATATTTTTGAGCTTTTGATAAATGTAAGAAAATGAATTATAAGAAATGATTGGAGAGCACAATTTGCCACTAAATGGAAATCATTGTCTTGTTTCTGGGTTGGGTTTTTTTTTCTGAAGTGTTTTCATAACCCACAAAAAGATTTTTCATCTGCTTCACAGCAAGGGCCAACTGAGAGTTTCATAGCATTACTGAGGGGACAAGCAAGTGAAGACAGGAGCAAGTGCCTGGGTTGGAGAGGGGAAGAAACTAGGCACCCCTCAAGTCAGCTTTGCAATTAAAAGATCCGTCCAGTGACAAACCAGTCTGACACTGGAACGTGCACTCTCTTAGCATACACATTGTGAGTCCAGCCCTGGAAGATGCTGAGTTCTCCAGTTCCAATGAACATATTCATGAATAAAAGCTGAGTAGTGTTGTTTGAGGTCTGCAAGACAGAGCTGTTCTAGGAGCCCCGTGCTGATGCAGTACTTCTCAGCCAGCTCACCTCCAGTCTCCTATTGCCATTCTCAGCAGGTTGTCTCAGATTTGAATGGAGATAAAATTAGATCTTACAACTTTAGAAAAGTCTGAAAAAAGACTGAGGTGTCAAATATATTGTACCTTCTTCAGAGGTGACACCAAAAAGTATAGTTTATTCTGTAGGTGGAGAGAGAAATGAAATCCTGCCCAGTAAATGTAATGGCAAAACGCAAGCATGTTTCCCCCATCAGCGCATTAAAACCATAGGAAGTTTGTCTGCAAAAGAAGTGCATACTCAAGCAATAAGTGGGGTAAGAAGCAGTTCTGTTTATCAAAGCTTTTGTCTGATGTCCACTGACCCCTTCTTCTGATTTTGCTCGCCAATAATAAAATTTTGCTGAGCTGAAAGAAGGAACAAGACCCTCCTTCAGATGGGCTGGCTGCATTCAGGTATGGGAAAGGACATAATCTTAACTGACTTAAATCTACTGAGCATTTTGACCAGTTTACACAACAACACAAATAGCATCAAAAGCTAAAGGAAAAAGAAATGTAGGAGTTAAAGTGCATGCCCTACAACAGTGGCATATGCTGAGAGAAGGGTCCCAAAACTAGCTGTCTTATCCCTAAAGGCACTGCATGTTTCCAAGATCATAGCACCATACATAGAAGTAGTATTATAAGAGCGCTGCTTGCAAAGATCACTGGATGATCCACCTCGAAAAGCGATTGCTTGCTCTCTCTCATGGTTCCCAGCCTATGTACAAGCAAGCTTAAATGTGGTGAAAGAGAAAGATTTTCAAGGAAGATAGTAAAAATTGACCAATCCTTTTTTTCAGTTAATCAAATGGTTTGAATTTTAGGATGAGTCTGAGTGAATTCATATATTTTCCTGGAAATGACATGAAACTTTGAACCTGAAAATTGCAAAATTTCCTCAGTTCTCACTGAGTTTCATTTCTTCAAGCTCTGGCTTTCAAAAAAGACTCCTATATTCTTCCGAGCCAAAGGCAATCTGCAAAGGCCATGAACAGATTTAACTTTGGGATATAAAGCATAACATCTGAACAACAATGAGTGGAAAAACCTTACAGAATACAGGAGCTGCCAGTTATTTTTTCCTACCGATGTGAGCAATGCAACCTGCCAGCTTGGTAATCGCCACTCACAATGAAGCTGAGGAGCTAGGATACTTAAAATCATCATTTCCATAGCATCTGCCATCTAGAAGGGGAAAAAAGAAACAAAAATAAACAACTGCCTGAAAATTAGGTTGACATAGCAGTCAGAAATATACCTTCTTGAAATTAACCTTGTTTCTGCTCTGTGCCATTCCCACTCTGTAGGTGAAACAAAACAGTTATGTTTGCAAGGTACAGTGGATGTACACAGTGTAGAGAAAAATGCAACAGGTGCACTTTTAAACTAATTTCTGATTGTCATAATGTTTAGTAACACTGGCAGAGACAGGATTCAAAGAACCAAATCAAAAGTTATCGGTGGGTGATTTCAAGGAGGCTTGTCTGGTCAGTCATCCAGGTTCGTTCACTTCCATATTGCATATTACAGGGATGAGCTTTCAACTCCTTTACACACAGATTCAGTCAGAACTTATTACCTTATAAATTACTCCCTTTCTCCCTTACACGCTACTTCTGGATTTGTGTGAAATATATTGATAGATCATCTGTACACCAAATTCCACTACTGACTTAGGATCTAAACCACAGCAGATTGTAACCTTATACATAAATGATAGCTGGTAAATACAGGCTCCAGATATCATTACCCTAAAATACACCACAGTAGGTGTAACATATAGTGCTTCAGAAATAGCAGAAAAAGTGAAAACAAAGCCTGTCTTTCTGTTCTTCATATCAAGGTTAAAATTAGAAGTACTGGGTTGCTGTTCACCTGAAACTGAGATTACAATAATACTAATACAGAAAACAGAGACTGTAGCTAATGGGATGAATATGGTAAAATCACTGCATGAAAACTGAGATCTGCTTCTGTAGGAATAGCCTAGTATCCTTTCCATTTGAAACAAGCATTTGAAGTAGAGAATCAAAATGATTTTTCAAACCCTGATTTATAAGAACTTCAGAGACAGAGAAATCAACCAGTTATTCATTACCCCCATATAACAAGTTTGAGTCCACCTGTCATTTCAGAATTTCAAGTAAAATTTCTTCTTTATTGTACAGTTATCTGTTTGGAGACTTTTTGTTGACAGAGAATGGCTATATTATTTGAAATCACTGAGATTCTCTGATGATCATGCAATTGACATTGATAACAATTACTTGCCCATGCTAATCCAGTAATAACAGAGAGTTTCCACTGGAACTTTCCAAATCCAATGGCTTCCACCGCATCTTCCACCATGAAAGTATCTAGACAGAAAACAATACTAGTGCAGAAGTGTATTCCTTTCCTAGTAAAAGCCATCCCTTGAGGCAGCATTTTCTGTGAATGCAATTACTTATTAACTGGGTAATCTACTGAGATCTAAAATATGTAACAGAAAGCTACTTAGCTTTTATACAGTTCCTACTCAGAAAAATCTCTGTGTTCTTCAGGAATTGTGCTAAAGCCAAAATAATTCTAAATATTCCTAGAACATTTTATTCACATAGAAGTATATCAGTGTAGCACCAATGACTCCAGCACATGTTCAGCGTATTACTCCTGGGAGTGACTCCACCAGCCACTGAATTGCAGCTTCCTCTGGTGAGAAGTATACGAGCTGTTCAACAGCACATAGCAATACTATGCAAGTGATGGAAAGTGCAGGAGAATATTTTATTGCATGGAGAGTCAAACTGTAATTATCTGAATCGAGAATTTGTCCAAGACATGTATCTTAAAACATATTTTCATTAAAAATGCTGACAGTTCTTGTTTCCCACATATTATCATGACCTTATTACTTTGTTCTATCTGAAGAAGCTGAGATACCTCAAATTCCTTTGCTCAAGTGCAAAATGAAATATACAACAAAAATAAATTTTGATACTCAAGTTGTTTAAATCAATTAAAGTCTCAAAGTTTTAACACTTCCAGCAGTTTAAAAAGTACTTTTGCCAAAGAAAAGCTTTATCTAGCTAAGAGTTGGACATCCTCACAAAGCAAAAGACAGAAACACAAACCAAAAGGAAATCAAACAAAATCTAACTGATAAAATGAAGCAGAGGTGTCATAAGACCCCAGTGTGTGACTTTAACTCAGGCATTTGATGTGATGGCACTGAAGCTCAGCATATTGTGCTGTTGCATCACTTGCACTTTTTTGGGCAATGTGCCAACTGAAATTCTACATATATCTGCAGACTCGCACTGGTGCACTGAATCTTTTGAGAAACTCACTGAGCTCACTCCATGGTATTCTGGCTTCCTATTGCATCAATATGTTAATAAATAAGTCCCTGGGAAAATAGTCATCCTACAAAATTTTAGTATGCCTTGTGCTGAGACAAAACCAACACTTCTCGTATCTTCTAAATTGGTGTTGCCTTCAGGGCAGTCAGCACTTCTCTGCTAGGCAGAAAGCAGAGGCTGGGATGTACATTCCTTCTGTCTCTCTTGTCCTCTAGGCGAGGAGCAGACAGGAACACTGCAGAGACTTCATGCTCAGCCTTGAAGGCGAGCCACGTGTAACTGCTCCAGTAAACTTGGCGATGTTTTAGTAGCACTGGTCAGTTCTAAAGGAAACTAAGTTAAACCTCCTGTATGAAATAGGTGGTGACAACTGGATACCCAACTCCTTAAAAGGGTCTATTACTGGTAATACAAAACCAAACACATATAGTATCCCTCAGAGAACAAGGTAACTACATCATGATTTTCAGGTGTAACGTAATTTGCCTGTGTTATTGTTTCCTTCTTTTATCTGAGGATCTTTAGCTTCTCTAAACCCAGTATATTCAGCCCGCTTGCAACATGACTGAAATGAAGAGGCCACACCTTTCTCCTTATAGGAAAATAAGAAACCTACTCACCATCAGTTGGGTTGGCAAATTCTTTTGGCACTGCAGCTCCATCCTCTAGCTCAATAGGCTCTAGCTCTGTCCGAACACCCTCAATCTGAATTTCATGTTCTCCTGAAATGACATCCTCATCTGACCTTGAACTTTCCCCAGTGCGGCGAAACTTGACCACCCTAAGAATACAGAAACAAGGATTAATACTTTGGTGAGGCTTTTCGAGGTCAAAGCTGTGTTTGGTTAGTCTTGAAGCCCTATTTGGTCAAACAGCAGCAAGGTTTCTCCCCACCCTCCTGTCTCTGTTTCACATTCACAGAGAATGCTGTGACTTTTATTTGTATCTGCTTTTAGATATGTTATCCTCTTGGTTGCTACTGGCTTTGGAAAAACAGCAGAGTACATTGCTGTGTGACAGAGTTATCATTTTTGTAGAAAGAATATAGTTACCATGCTAACTATAAAGTTATAAAAACATACAGGTTATAAAAATGTGATAAAATGATACATATTTAATGATAACCATGTTTTGTGTGCCTAGACTTTTACTGCAAATTAGACATAGCTGTGTCATTGAATTTCAGGTGTTTTGACCTTGTAGGAAGAGCCCAAATTCAATTTTTCACATTGTTTTCATAAGAGCGATTTATGTCTTAGCAGAAGCAGAACTCCTGAAATATGTCATATTTTTAAACATTACTTAGTGAAGTAAGATTCATATGATAATTCAGTGAATTGACTGATTTTTTTTCCATTATGGTGATGATTCTGTGACTATAAATATGACTGCTTTCATCTCTTGTCTTAAAGTCTTTAATATTATGTAATTAATTAAATACCTGTATTTTAAGAAACTATTTGATTTCCAATACTTGGTTCATCTGTGCATTTTTTGAATCTCTTAGGTCATGAGGAGGGACAGAATAAGAAAGTGAATGAAATGATACTTCTTTTTTCATTAAGTCCAAGTCAAAACTGAAGAGTGTACCTGCCTGCCAGTTATAACCCTGGCATATGAGATGATGATTGTCACATGAGTGTCATGCTCACAGCTGTCTGCATTTTATATAATTTCTGGCACTAGCTGAGAGATAATCATCTAATCTCTGCAGCAAGGCCACGGAGAGAGTAAGACCTGAAAACAGAACTTTGCTAAATTGACACAACTTTCATGTTTTGGTTAGAGTGATTTTGTGCAACGCTTCATGTATATAGACAAGGTCCATTTTCCATTAATTAAGTTTCCTGTGATCAAACAAAGATTTTGGAACAGATCTACCATATTTAATGTAACAAATTTCTCAAGCTTCCTTCACTTTACCTGCAACATCAGCGTAAATTTTTCACCTTGGCAACTGACAATGTCTTGGACTTCAGTGAAATAGTTTTTTGGAATAGATTAAATTAGTCTTGCTACTATCTGTTCTGACTTCCAATACCTTAATTTTACAATAAAGATTAGCAGAGAGCCTCTTGAACTTCAGTTTAATCCTTTGTTTTAAGGGTCAGCAAAACTAAACTATCAGCATCCTTGCCAACTGCAGCTGCAGCAAACTGACATGCATGTGTGACATTTCTAAAGGTGATCTGGAAGACTTTTCAAATTTGGCAAGACCTCAACTCTTATTTTCTCTTACAAGTGCTGATGACACAATCAATACTTAATATAAGGGCAAAATGATGAGCAATCTACAAAACTCCTGTAAATGGATTTTAGTCCAATGGTGGACAAGAGGATGGAGGAATGAACATCTCAGTCACCCACGGGTTTTTTTACAAAAAGAGAAATCCTGGGCATGACCAGCCATTCAGTCCAGCTCAGGATTTCACTGTGGCAGAAACATAAAGCAGAGGGATACAAAAAAATATTATTTTGTTTTCTCACAGTCCTGGCACGTAAATTATTTCCCTAACCACATCCCATCTGGGGAATTGCACATATTCACTAATGATATTCTGGCAGTAATCTGGAGAAAGAGAGAGAGAAGTACAGTGACCACTTTGTGAGGTGATCACTCATCTTTGGGACAGCCTGCTTTGCAGGCTGTTGAGGCGTTTTGGGACGATTTTTTCAGGTAAACAGGGCATTCCAAGATCTGTGTGGGGCAAATATTCCTTGTACTACTTTAGTAATGCTTTCATCTACAGCAGGAAACTGAAAGCTTTTCTCTGGCCTTTATGTCTTGGCGGACAAACAACAGTCACAAATTTTGTTTTCTAAGATAACATTTGAAGATCTTAAACATAAAAACACAGAACAAAACCCCAAGCTTCTTTGAAATGAACAAGAAAACTACTCTGACTGCAGTGAAACTAGGGTTCATCTCACATTCTGATTCAGGGTATGCAGAGGATCCTTCACTCAGTTATAAGAAAAGACAAACAAAACAAACTCGTCTGAATTCAGGTTCATATTTAGTTCCTTTGAGAAACTAAATTCTAAATTTTCTTCATCTGATTGTTTTTTTCACCTCAATACAACTATCTTGGTTTGAATTTTCTTTTGCTGACCCTATAGGACAAACAAAAGTAATTAATACTCTCACGTTAAAATTGTCACTGAAGATATAATCCTCATATGACCTACAAAATACACACCCTCAGCAAACAAACACTGAAATTTGTATGCCTATGAGATTACTTTTTTATTACAAAGGGCAATTAATATCAAAGTACCATTCGTATCTTATTTGCAAAGGCTTTACAAACACCTGGTTTAACTATACAGGAAATAAACTTTTATGTTTGCATTTTTTTAAAGGAAGACTATTACTATAACTTCATCAGTCTCAAAGCCTGATGCAAAGTTCATTGAAGTATATGGACACCTTTTCCCTAGATTTCAGGAGGTCTAAAGTGCCATTCCTCCACAGGATTATGACTGAAAACCATTCATACAAACTATGCTGGTAACTGTTCAGCGTCCTAGTAAGCCACAGGCAAAAATAAACTTGCCAGTAAAATCCTTCCTGACTTTAAAGTACATGATCACAACCCCCCTGTATTACTGTTTCTTATTTTGTAGTATTTGTTGAAGTAGACTTTCAGAACTGACCATTTTGGAGATGATGGTTCCAGATGCTATGCAAAGGCAGTGACTGATCTGAAAATTGTAAATATTTCAATGGCAATCTGAGTAGAGAGCTATCTGGCCACATTCCTCATCATAGGAAATAAAAAAAAATGTTTATGATTTAGGAACCTATGAAAGAAATTGACACAAATGAAGAAAAAAACACACAGTGGTATTTACTGTTCCATACTTGCAAAATTCTTCACAGCTGAGACATCTCAGAGAGCTGCATTTGTTTGCAAGATCTCACAGCACCAAATATGTCTAATTAGACCTACACTGAAAGGTACTTTAGAACATTTTTCTGTGTTTTGTTGTTTGGTTGGTTTTGTTGTTTTTTAAAAAAAAAAGATTGGGAAAAATGGCCTAATGAAATCATGCCTTATTCTTTTCCCTGACCAGCTGAATGCATCCGAACTAAGTATTTGAAAATAACTGGAGTTCATGTCCATTTTTCCAACTTATTAGAAATGTCATGGGACAGTTTGCTCTGTCATTGACATAAGCTCATTAATATTCAAAATCAACTTTAAGCATCTATTCCCTGCCTTGCAGAGTCAATGATTTATAAACAGGAATATGTTCCAAAGCACCTGATAATGGAGCATTAGGAGAAATGCACTTGTTTTTAAAGGAAACATTTTGCATTCATGAAAAGGAAAGGAAATACTGATGTTAAAAGGCAGCAATGCTTTTAACACCTTTTTGCACAGATCCAGCAACCACATCACAACAGCAAAGAGTTCCGCACAAATAACAGCATTTTCCTCGTGCAGCAGTGTTTGCTTCTCCAAAACATACAGTTAGCAAATATTGATGGTACTCACTGCAAACACACCTTTGCAAAAAAGGTTCTGATCTGCAATCAGTTCACGGCACGAAGGAGGAAGCCGAGGAAGATGCCTTCCCTAGCACAACGTTATTTACAGATGCAATCCGCCTTGCAAATGCAATAGTAATGCTTCCTCTCAAAAAATCTTTTGGCACTTCCACAGCTTTATTCCACCCCTCCTTTATTTCTACCACCATCAAGTTCATGCAAAAAATAAAAATTGAGCAAATTTACATAACAAATGGATCCCCGCATGCCCCCAGGATGCTGAACCCAGGCAGCTATACAAGGAAAATGGCCTGCTTCCCAGGGCCTAAGACACTTCCTAGAAATAATTCCCTTAAAAATCACCGGGATTCACAATATCCCTCCAGCCCGTTGAGGAGAAATCCTGCGCATCCCCGCTCCCCTATCGGTGCTACTCACGGCAGCTGTCTCAGCTGGAATAAATCATCCTCCATTGCCGGGCTGCCTCTGCAGGAGCTGCTCTCATCGCTCTCGCATGGCGGGGATGGCTGGAGCTGCGGGCGGGCG